GACAATAACAGTTAAGGGTCTGTTGTTCTGAATTTACATACGCACGCATGAAGGGTAAGTTGTGTCCCATGGTTCCCATCTCCAGGAGGAATAATACAGTGGCTCAGTAAGCCAGTTCTGTACGACAATCTCTTTGTAAAAGGGACAGAATGAGATCTGTACAGTGTAACCACAGGTTAAAAAATTATATATATATATATATATATATATATATATATAGCAGCATGTTCAGATATACAAATGCTACAGCATTTCTAAAATATTATCTTTCAACAGAAATGAAGCACTGGAGGTCCAGCATGTGTTTCCTGAGCACTGGGTCCTGCTACCGCTACACTCTTCTCTTTAAAGGTAGCCCAGGCCGCCTCACTCAGATCTTCCACTTCCAGCCAACTCCCTGGTATCAGATCACAGCTTGCTTTTGCAGGTTACAGCAGCATCTTGATCTCGGAGGCAGTATTTACACGCTACTACTATGCATGCTTTAACCAATTTACATTCATTAAGCCTGAAACCATGCACAAAGCCAAGTCTGATTGGTCTGAGGGGCAGACCCAGCATACTGGTGCTGAGTATGCTTGGGTAAGGGGAATCCTTTTGCTTATGCTTTTAAACAAATAACTATGGCACAACACAAAATGAAAAAGTGTTAACTGATGTAAACATGTGAAAGGTTATTTCCATTCAACCTGAACTGAATCTGCTAATGGATTTTCTATAGTCAGTATCCGGAAACCATACCTAGAGTAATATCACTCATTGGCACTTTTGCTTTAAAAGCTTTTAAGTAACTACGTTGATAAAGGACGCTTGTAACCTTATGGCATAGGTTCATTAATCAATCACTACTTACGGATGAGGTAATTTATAATTTACTAATGTATTGAGTTTAAAGCAAGACACAAAATCAGATCAGATTTATATTAGTTTAGATTTGTGCAGTCCTAAATTGGACTATGACATCACATACAACACAATTGTTTCAGGGATTTTCTATGCCAAGTAAATATTTTACCCGTTTCTAAGGTAATGGCACCATCTATTGGTCCAGTACCACCTTTACAGAATTCCTGTAAATTAAACAAGCTGCGCAATCCAGTTAATTTGCTGTTTTATTTTAGCAACTTAAAAGGCATTTAAAACTCTAATTGCTAAGGGGTGTGTGTTCAATATAAATAGGGACGTGTTAAATGTTTTTTAATGCATTCTCTCTCAATATATTAAATCAGTTGAGAAAGGCCGTAGAGTGCCAAGCAATAAACAGATACGTTTGTGTCTCTCACTAATAAGAAACTGTTAAAAGTCACTGAGAATGGGCATCATCGGAAACTCTTTACTAAACGGTGTCTGAAATCAGTTATGTATGGATTCAGAATGTATCTAATTTTCAAGGATTCCTAAGGAAGAAATGCAAAAGCAGTGAAGCTGTTATTTTTAAAATGCAGGTTTTTTCACTTGTACGATCAAGGCAGGATCATGTTGTTGTCCAAGACCTTTTCATGGAACTTTTATGGAGACCAACAGTGTTTCAGGACCTTGTCAATACAAGATATTCTGATACCTGCACTTTTCAGTTCTAAAAGATAAGCAGAATCCTACTGCTCCAATAAAAACAGCCCTATTATTCCTGGAAATCCAGTGGGGAATAGTATTAGAGGGGAATGGGGAGGAAGGATCATAAGCAAGGTCAAATGGACTGGTGAAAAAGAGCTCAATTAACTACAGTCTTTAATAAACGTCTAGTTTATCTGCCTATCTACTCGTTCACGTGACATTCTACAGAATACATAAATTGTAATTGCCAAATGTATACGTACATAGATTTTTTCTGCTGAATATGCAAATCAACAGACCTTTTAAGCAAATAATCTAAAAGACCTAAAGTGCTATTTATTACTGATAACACTGGTACCACTCCTAAGCTCTAGAGGAAACTGTGAAACATTGATCCATTGCTTTGGTTTTTAATGTTTTGGAGAAGTAGAATCTCTGGCCTTTGGGGTCTGATTCAGCAAAGGGGAAAAAAAAGCTTCATCTTGCCTTCGGACACCGTGGAAGCCAATTTGCAGAGATTCCAGAGAGGCTAGATGGATGCTTTTGTTGAAGATAGTCCTTTAAAACTTTCCAGAATACACCAATAAATCAAGGGACCATTTCGTATGAGTCCAAAGCCTGTGTACAAAACGATGACTAACAACTTTAATACTAGTTCAATTTTCTTATTCCAAAGCATATCTTAGAATGACAGTACCCATATCAGACAAGAGGAAATTCGCAGGCTATAAATCCAGAGAGTCACAGCTGCAGTCAGTAGCAGCCCACTTGAGTTGTTTCTGCGGCCTGCACATTACATTCAGAATCTGTGAAATCGGAGCTTTCATTTAAAAGAGGAGCCATCTTGACATCTGGCCTTCTGTTTTGAAGGTTAAATGCGGCAAGGCTGCCTTCCTGAGTCTGCAGACAGTTGAAAAGGTGACTTTGGGTGGTGTGAACTTCCACAGCTACATTGTTCTCAGTGGGGTGCTAACTTTTGAGACAGGTGATGGCCCTACACAAGTAACATGCTATTTCATTACTCGTCATTTCAATATGGAGAACTAAAAACAGTTATGAGATAAAGACTATTTTATACTTGAACTATGGGCTCATCTCCTGTTGCCATCCATAAGAGGCCTGGGTTTTTTACCCCAGTGACCATAACACAAATGAAATGCAGTCCGTTCTAAAGGACACATGGTGATAACATTGATGTAAAATGTTTATTTTGGAGGGATAAAAAGTGGATGAAATGCTATCAAATGATAAAATGTCTACTGCTTTATTTTCAACAAGCCACGTCCCTTCCTGTAGAGAACCTATAAAGTACTAGCCATTAACGCTTATGTGTAACTCACAGAGCTTGTTAAATACTATAGTTTGGAACAGAGGTCATCTAAGCATGCCTAAATAATTAGGAAAATCAATTTACCTAGATGGCTTGGATAGAAATGCAAAACCTTTTCTGACATAATGTTTATTCATTACACAGTTACTCCTAGATTGTCAAATTTTGGAAATTCAACCCTTAGTTTCTCTATATTATTCCAGTTACAGGAAATTCCCAAACAAGATAGTTGACAGGTTCAGACTTTGATCCGCCTTTACCAACACTCCTGCAAGAAGTTCATCAAGCTAAGAGCTGGAAACAACCCTCCAGCTGTGACTGATTACTGAGGCCTGCCTAGCAAAGAAAAGCTGACAAGTTTAAAACAAAATAAAAAGGCAACAAATGCTCAGAGATCTGAAGAGAACACACTGCCCTGTAAGGTATGTATCCAATATATATTTTAAATGGTTCAACCAATAAACCTGCAGCTTGCAATGGGTGTGGGGACTATGGGAAGTTAAAAAATGCCTCCCCAAAATTAACAGCCACAAGTGATTGCCAATTCAGAAGTCATATTTAAGGCAGGCTGCTGATCAAACACGGTCCAGTCCTGTTTCAGGTTAGACCAAGGACCTACTGGGAAATGGGTCTCCAGAAGAATACTGGGAATAACAGACTAGGACAGGGTATGCAGGGGGGGCGCCAGGAAATCAGGAGACTGTGCTGGAAGCTCTCTTTTCACCAGGAGAGCTGGGAAACTAGACTAGAAAAGGCCTGTGTAGAGACATGGGGGAACAGAAAGGCCTGCAGGAGGGGTAAAGCAGAGGAAGAAGAAATGGGGCAGTGCAGTAACCGTGTAGGTCAGAGGCCTGTGCTGAAACCTGTCTGTTTCAGGGCCCAGACCTTAAGGTTTCCAGCAAGGGAGGAGAAAGTGCTCCTCTCTGCAGCCAGAACTTTAACCTGGGAGAGGTAAAATGTAGGACTAAGTTTGTGCCAGTAAAATAACGAGAAAGGATGGAGCCTGAGGAAAGACAACGAGCAGTTCTGAATATTTTTTGGCCCTCTCCTGGCTGCCCTGGAAAATGTATGCACTACAGAAATAGTCTCAGAGCCTCAATGTGCAGCAGTCTGGGGAGACCAAAACCCACAAGAAGCGGAGGCCTAATGTCATCACTTAGCTGGTAATGTGCCCTATTGTAAGATCCTGTTAAGCATCAGTGTAATGCTCACTGTTGTCAATCTGCATCTAGAATTTGATATCCAAGTACCTACTGGGTAGGAAGGAGGAACAGACAGCTTAGAAATGGGGGCTGGTAGGGAAAAGGGGCCTCAAAGGATAAAGAGGATACTATGTGTATGGGAAGAGGGATTTCCTGTTAGCTGCATAACAGCAACAGCATGAAGAGACTTCCAACATGTGAACAGCTACATCATTTTCACAATAACAGAACACCTTATTTGGAACTCTTCTGAAATGAATGCAAGCTGTCATTCTTTTCAAACAGGAAACAGCTGATTTCTGACACACAAGAATGTAAAGGGCTTAAGTGTTAATTCAAGGGGGGCTGTCTAGTTGTTGTTACATGGAGACACTCACAATATCAATGACTGGCAATCGGGTGAAGGGCTACATAATCTGATTTTCTTTTACTGAAATACAGCTCTCTCTCTAGAATAGAATACAACATAGAGAAATGCTGCAGAACTGTTTCAAAAAGGTGTGATGTGCCTTACCCAACTGAAACCCCAGGGAAATCAATTTGATTAAGGATGCAGTTGCAACAACCTGGACTTAGGGCACAACATAATCCATCTCTCAGAAAGAGAGCCATAGATAGATGCTTTACTCTGACAACACAAAGGAAGTTCCAGGTCTCCTATGCAGTAGCCACTCAACGTCTGTTTAGGAATACTTGGAGTACACCCCTAGCACCAGCTCTTTTCCCACTTTATAAATCTTTACTGATACAATCAACTATAGGAGTGACCTTGAAGGGAAAAGCAGAACCTTCAGACGTCTTCAAAGGGCAGGCACAATTCTGAAGTCTGGGCGCCTGGCACCACTTACCAGGAATAGCAGAATTTTAGCAGGCAGTTTTACAACATTATTCTGAAATAAAGGAAAGTGACTCACCCATAGTAACATAGGGCAATTTGTCAGTTGATCCATGGGGATAGATGCTGTAGAGGTGGGGCCCAGTGATATCCACTCCTCCTAAAACAAGGGCAGCCCCAATATAACCTTGGTACCTAGAGAACAAAGTTGACAGGTGGATTCAAATGCTTGTGAGGAAATGACAGGCTGCATTTTATTTCAACGTGGCACATGCAATTTCTGCATACACCCCTTCCTCCTCCCCCCAAGTAACCAGAAGTAATTTTCTGCATTTTAAAGCAATGAGCTTCACCCAGTATAGTGATGCTCTTCACTCATTTGTTTAAGTATGGCACTTACTTTCAGATTCATAACTACTTAGAGCGTGGAGCCAATGCTATCAATTTGTGAATTTTAATGAAGCCTAAAGCTTTACTTCTAACCTGAGGGCAGCTAGTCAGCTTCATACAATTTAAATCTTCAAGTGGGTTATCAGTGGTCTCTCTTTCTCTGTTATTTTACTGCACATTTCTTGCAGACAATGACCCAGAGTCAGGAAGTGTGTAAATATTTTATGATAAAACTGCAATGCACTCCTGTCCAGTTTTGCCATATCAGACAAAAGCAAAGAAACAAAACAATTTAAACTGCCCCTCCATTTCCTACAGAGGTTTGTTTTTGCTCTATGTGGTGAATGTAAAAACTACATTCTGCATCAGCAAAGGACTGACTGCAATTTAATACAACTATTTTAGGCAATCAGTAGTGTCATGTGCCACCTCTGTAGTGCTCACTGCCAGAATTTTGAGACTTTTTATGATCATTACATAAACCTCCTCTACCCAAAGAGGTAGTTAAGTGGTGCATTCATTTTTTGGTGGGGGTTAGAAATCAGCAGAGATTGAACAGTTTGATCTGAAGTCACAGAGTGAGCCAGTGACAGGGCTGAGAATATGCAACTTTAGCTCTGAATAGCAAGACCCTGCTCCAACACTCCTTTAATTCATTCAGATTGCTTAAGCCAGCCAAAGAGAAGGCAAGAAGTTGGAGGGGAAGAAACAGAGTCCTTGTCTGTCTGGTCTCAATCTGCTCACACAACTCTGCAAGGAGAGAGAAATGCAGATTACATGTTTACACTGTCCCTACAAGATGCAATTTGCTGCTGAATAACTTAGCCTCTAACAGTCGGGACTCATACTTCTAGTACAAATCTTGAAAGAGAAGACTCAGTCAAGACTTCATCTTCATTTCTGCAGTCCAGAACTTTCCAGTAACACCCGAGATGCATTTCCCAAATACATAAAGAAAATGTTTCTTAACATTAACGTTTTCACTTTGCTGTGTTCTTTCTTCAGGCTAAGCAACCAGCTACTTAAGTCCCAATGTTCTTGTTAATAAATAGGAATCAAATTGTGCTGCAAGGGTCTTGAGCAGAAAGAACTTTTGCCAAAGACCAGAAGTTCCACAGCACTTCATTTAAAAGTATAAGGAAGCTGAACATGATAGCAATTGTTCACTTGATCACCCATTACCCTAATATTTTCAAAACTGCTAATATGACACCACAAACTTTGCATCTGTGAAAAAGTAACCTGTGGAAATTCATAGATGTTGCTGGAGGTTTTGGAAGCTAGGGAGATATTAACTGGGGATTTTTGGCACCTTTACCAATATGACTGCTTGTGTATTAGATGTTTCTGCTAAACTATCAACAGTAAAAGTATTCATTTTTAATACTTCAATTAACCCTGATTTGTCTGCGCCTATTTGCCTGTCCCCCACCTCCTGCCTGAGCTACCTTTTCAGTCTCCATCTACTCCATGAGAGAGTATTGCTTTGCATACTTTAAACAGAGAAAAGAGCCACCCTGCCCTACTGTCTGCCATTTACATTTAGAGATATTCTTAATGAGTCCAAGGGTTAGAACCCATTTTTAAATAGGATTTTACATTTCAGAGTACAATTCTGTATCAAGGATTGGCTTCTGGGACAATTTCTTAGCCATAAACATAAATGCAATCTATGGAATCATCACCTTTTGCAGTTTGTGTGATGCATCTTGGCTTTCCTACTAGCATCATGGATGAAAAAATTAGTACAGCAAAAATCTTCAGTTATTCTCAGTTAACTTTGAAACAAGACTCAGTAGGGGTCTAAATATCTTGCATCCAGCTACTCATAGCCTTGTATCTGGGATCTCTCAACTGTCTTTAGGTTTACCCATTTAAAAAAATGGAACGTGGCTACCTCTAGATAACACTTGCATCTGAGAACTTGCATCTGGTCTGCTATTTAACAAATTAATGTGTCTGCACCTTTTTTAGACTAGAAAACCCTTCTTTTTTAAGAAAAGAGAACAAACTTATTAGGCTTCATGCCCTTGTCATCATAAAAATGCTTGATATTGCTGATATAGATACCCAACAAGTCCTACTCTATAAACTGAGAGCAGGCAAACACAGTTAACGGGACTCCATGTAAGGGTTTATGCTCACATATAAGTTGGGAGGATAGAAGTTTTTGTTTGTTTTAACTAGAATAGTCATGTTATTGTTTGAGGTCATATCAAATGCAACTCCCTCAGTTCACAATTTTATTCTGATCACATGAAAAAGTAACAAGGTTATCAGAAAAAACACCACTTGTCATTTTTTTTTTGGGGGGGTGGGGGGGGGGGGGGGTTGTGTTGTTTTTACATTTTTTTTGGAGATGTACCAGCACAACCAGAGGAGTCTTTCATAATGCCAGGTCACCACACACATTTAAAGGAGAATTGCCTAGACTTCCATGTAGTTGTGCAAGACAAATAAGCTCTTAAAATTCTGAGATTGTGTTCAGTTATAGGAATAAGTTCTACAGGTCTAAAGCAACCTTAGAAGGTATTCTGTCATTAAGGTGACTTACATATATGCATGTGTGATTTCCCTCCCCCACCCATGCAAATATTTTGTAAGTAACTAATGCAGGAGATTCTAGGTACTAGTTTCCTAAACTGCAGGCTATGGCCAAACACTTGGGTTATAACTGAGTATTAACCATTAGTCCAATGCTTTGAACTCTACTTACATTTGACTGTGACTGAAATTCCTAGTAGAGTTTAATAGCATGCTATATGCAGACGTACGCATCTGGGCAGTCCGCTTCGATTTTACTGTAACCTGCAGGAGTTGCGTTAGCCAACAGAGGGAGCTTTTCTGGTTCTATGTATACAACCAACACGGAAATGACCAAGCTCTTTTTGGTTGTATGTGGACTAAGCTCAAAGCAAGCTCAAACATAACAGATGGGCTAATAATACTTAACCCCCACCCCTCCCACAAGGATAAATTTATATATAAAGGTGTAATACCTTGTTTGTTTCGCTACATGACAAAACTAGAAGACTGAAATCGGAACAGTTAAAACAGTTATGCCAATATGAATGTAACTTTTAAATTAAGAATCCAACTGGCAGCTACACCTGGAACATAATGGAAGTTGGAACACACATATATAAGGACCCAAGTAATACTTTGTATTAATACAGACTTCACAGCACTGAATTCAGTTGCCAACACTTGTAGAGATTCGATATTGCTTAGCTACCAAACTTTCAAGTTCTTGAATCCATCCATCTGTCCTTTGGAGTTGGTTCTCTTGTGAACCACACCCAACACCTACAACCTAGGAACAGGACAGCTATGCCCCGACTCCCGTGGGAACAAGTTTGAACTCCCCACACGACAGATGCAGCGAGATTGCCATGCAATGATGTTTGTTGTACTCCAATCTAAAAGTCTTGCTTTGCAAAGATGACAAAAGGTTTCATTCCATCCAGGAAGAGCACACACCAACTGCTGAAGCTTCCTCAGTCTGACAAAGGGTTTTTGAACCCGAAAGCTTGCTTAATAACTATTCTCCAACCATTTGGGTTGGTCTAATAAAAGATATCAAATTCACCCAAGGAACCTTGTCTGCCTATGTCCTTAGACCAACACGGCTACAACCTAAACCCCTGCTTCTGTAAAGTAAGGCAGCTCGCAGGATCCAGCTCTGTACAGAGGCCAGACCCCTCCCTACCTCATCCAGTGTGGGTATCTATTCTGTAGAAGCAGTTTGTACCCTCAGAACAACTTAGATTTAAAGTTTTTTTTATTGTTTTTCCTTCAACGTTTTAGAAGCAGCTGCAGCTGGGAGTAGCTTATAAAGTCTTGTTAATCTAGGAGGAAATTCTACACTGCATCAAAAAAAAAAAAAAAAAAAAAAAATTAATCCCCCTAATAAGTGGTATATTTTCAAGATACCTGGTTGCGAGACTCCCGTCAGATGGATCAGAATAAAAAAGAATGGACTTGTGGCGTTACCTGAAAAGCATCTGCTTGAGCATCCTGTTAGCGGTGGCCACTCGAGGAAGCCGCCCCGTGGACAGCGAGTGCAGCTCCAGGTTGGAAGAGATGAGCTGAGTTGTCATATCCGTGTCCGCAGCGGTCCCGGCACCACAGCAACTGGAAAACATGACTGGCAAGTCAGTCATCCCAAAACTCCTGGGAGTTTAATTCTTTCTACTTTCATTCACGTCCCCGTCGCTTGAGGAATAACAGTCGTAAGTTGCTAGAAGGTCACTTCAGACTGCGCAAAAGAAAAAACTCCCGCGCAACTCAAGCGCCGAGGGTCTGGACCAGGCAATCGCCGAACCCCGGAGATCTTTAAAGAAACGACCCCCCGGCTGGGGTCGTCCGTCCAGCTCGAGCGACCCGACGGCCCGTCACGACGCTGACCCCGCGAAACCGGCACCCGTCGAGCCCTTTCTTTCTCGTCGCGTCCAAACCACACAAGTCCGCTGGCTTGTCCTCGCCCCGAGAAAGCCAGGGACCGAGGTGGCGGCCGGCGCGCGTACTTACTAGATGTTGGGGGAGATGAAGTGGATCTTGGAGCAGTTCTTGTCGGCCACGACCATGCCCTCGGTGGCCCGCGTGTCGGCGCCCAGCACGATGCCGTCCTAGGGAAGAGCACAGTGAGGGGGGCCGGGAGGCAGCAGTGGGGGAGGGGGGCC